TAAACATAAAATTATTTAATAGTGACTGTACTGGTATTTTTTTTGGTTCTGTACTACAATTGAGCTCTGAGCTATGCCTCAGACGCTCTTTGCTTTTAGGTTATTTTAGATAGAATCTCACTTTTTGCCAAGACCAATGTAGAACCATTCCTTCTACCCATTCCTTCTGCATAACTGGGATTGTAGATGTGAACCGTCACACCTGGTTTGTATGTTGAGATGGGAATCTTGCTAACTTGTAACGATGGCTGATGAGCCATGATCTTACTGATCTCTGCCTCCTGAGTAACTGGGAGTATAGGTGTGAAACAATGAGAGTGGCTTGACTTCTTACCCAAGAAGTTTTTACTATGCCTGCATAAGGCACGTGTAAAATTAACAGCATATGTAACGTGTTCCTGGAGAATTTTTTGTCTGTCTATTTGAGGTCTCACCGAAAATTCCAGTCTGACCTCAGTGTGTACCACCACACCGGGCTCCCAAAAGACCTTTTAAGACTTAGCTAGATAATTCAGAATTTTCCCCTAAATTTGGATTTCTTCATCTTGGCACTGCTGATATTTTGGAGCAGAGACAGAACTCTTTGTTCTGGGGCCATCTTGGCTATTATAGGTCATTTAACAGGATCTTCAGCCTCTACTTCTTAGTTACCACTTGCACCTCCTCTGACTTGGGTTATAGTGACCAAAAGTCACTCAAGGAAGAACTTCACCCTTTGTGTCACTTATTTAAGCTAATACATGCAAAATACTTCTATTCTACGACCTAGAGTTTACTTATAGAACTAGTTCTAGATGTAAATTAGCTGGTGTCAACTTCAGTTTCTGTCTTATGAAACATATAAGCTGGCATGTTATTTTGCTTTCTCTGTTATTAATTTGCACATTTACCATGTAGAAATTCACATCAATACAGCTAATGACTTTTACTAGACACTTGTAAATCATTGATAAACTTTCAAAACAGGTACAATTGTACCCATTAAATACTAACTCCTCATCTTCCCCTACTCTCATCCTTGTAGCTGCCGTTCTACTTCCTGTCTATATGAATTGGCTACTCTAGAAACATCAAAATGGTATCTTTAAAAATTGTACAGTTTGTGTGTGTGTGTGTGTATTTGACTGGCTGATTTCTTTGGTGTAATGCAGCCTTTCCTTTGCTATTTAAGGCTGATTATTGCATTGTATATGTATGCTATAGTCTGTACACATACTCATTTATCTGTGGACACTGGGATTGGGTTGTCTCTACCTTTCAGCTATTACAAAGCGTATTGCTGTGAGTTTGGCTGTATAAATATCTGTTCACATCCTTACTTTAGTTCTTCTGCATATATATCAGAGTATTACATATAGCTAGGATTTCTATAAAACTCAAGTTTTTATCTTTTTAAAATAACTGCTTATGTTATAAAAAGTTTAACCTTTAAAAACATGTTCCATGTTCTTACATGTCTCTGAGCTTATGAAATGTTACAGGTTAATTTTCTTGTATGAATTATTGAAAATTCCAAATCTTACTTCTTGGTGAATGTTACACATTATTGTACAGCCACTATGCCTTCTTTTTCTTTATGAATGCCTAGCTATTACCTATAAAGGTGGAGACAAAGGGAAGACAAAGTAGACCTTGAAAAGCTTCTTAATCAGAAAGCAAGATAAGATTTTCATTTTTCTTGGGGAATTGTCAGCCTTAGCTACTATCACTTAAAAATTTGGAGGCCAAGAAAATTTTGAGCCTGTGTGAAATACTATGTGAATATGCCAACATTAACCATAATATCCTGCAACTATAAAATACAAATAGAAAGAATAATAAAATAAAAAAATACAAATAGTAGCATCTTAAGTGAAGTCTTTTTGTAATAGCCAAATGGTTAGCAGTAGATACATCAAGGAAAAAAATGAATTGAATGTAAATGTGGGTGGAAAAAGACTTATTATTTTTATTTGAATTATCTGTATTGTTTGAACTATAGGACTGTTGTTGCTGAACACAGATGGCTGATGCCTGCAGCCAGCCCTGGCAAGAAAGTCTGTGAGAGTCTTATCTCCAATTAACAACAAAAAAAGTTGAAAGTGGAGCTGTGGTTCAAGTGGTAGAACACTAGCCTTGAGCAAAAAATGTTCAGGGACAGTGCCTAGGCCCTGAGTTTAAGCCCTATCACCAGCACATACACAGACACACACACATACATATGAAGTATTACTACAGTTAACTGACAGGGGAGTGATAAAAAGGGATCAGTTTTCTAGATGCTTTACTTGTGATATCAATAATAATAATAACCTTTTATTAAGTGCCTCCTAACTGAGCTAGGAACCTAGCATGCATTGTCTCCAGTCTTCATAAATATTTATGAATGTAAAATATCAGCCCCCTGTTTTTGCAGGTACCAGGGCTTGAACTCAGAGCTTCACACTTGCTCAGCAGACTTGCTCAGGTACCACTCTACCACTTTGGTCATACTTCCAACAAAAGCAGGACCGATTTTGGTTATATGGAGATGGAGTTTCATAGGCTTTCCTGCTCAGGCTGGCTTTGAACTAGATCCCAGCTTCCTGAATAGCTAGGATTGCAGTCATGAGCCACCTAGGCCTGGCTTATTTTCCTCCTTTTTTAAAAATTGGTGCCAGTCCTAGGGCTAACTCATGGCCTGGCATCTGTCCCGGAGCTTTTTTGTTCTAGGCTAACACTCTACCACTTAAGCCACACCTCTACTTCCTGCTTCTTGTAGTTAATCAGAGATAAGAGTCTCATGACTTTTCTGCCTGAACTGGCTTCAAATCTCGATTCTTCGATGTTAGCCTTCTGAGTAGTTAGGATTACAGTCACCTAGTTATTTTCCTCTCTTTTAACTAAAGAAACTTTAATTTGATCAGTGTTGTACAAATAGTAATGAGTGAGCCAGAATTTGGGACAAGGTTTATATGACTCCCAAGTCTTTATTTTTAATTCATTGAGCTACACTGGGTAAAATAGGAAGGAGAACCCCAAGTCTTGTGAACCTAATTGAAAGGTCAGCTAAAGCTGGGTTGAGTGGTGCATGCTTGTCATCCCGACTACTTGGGAGGTCTCTGCTTTCCCAGACAGGAGGATCACTGTCCATGACCATGTTGAAATTTGCACGAGACCCTATCTAAATAAAAAAGGAATTAAAAGCAAAAGAACTGGAGCTGTTACCCAAGTTGTAGTATTCTTGTTATAGGGCCTGGTCAGTTAAAAAACACAAACAACTATATCAATGGTTATTTTTCAGTTAAAAAGTTTAAAATCTAAGCCTGTGTTATCTAATTAAAATTAAAGCAAGGTAGCCGGGCGCTGGTGGCTCACGCCTGTAATCCTAGCTATTCAAGAGGCTGAGATCTGAGGATTGCGGTTCAAAGCCAGCCCGGGCAGGAGAGACCATGAGACTCCTATCTCCAATAAACCACCAGAAAACCGGAAGTGGCGCTGTAGCTCAAGTGGTAGAGCCGCTCGCCTTGAGCTGAAGAGCTGAGGGACAGCGCCCAGGCCCAGAGTTCAAGCCCCACGACCGACAAAAATAAATAAATAATTATAGCAAGGTATCATTTTGTTTGTTTTTTGGGGGGGTCCAGTTGTGGGGCCTGAACTCTGGGCCTGGGTGCTGTCCCTCAGCTCTTCAGCTCAAGGCTAGCGCACTATCACTTGAGCCACAGTGCCACTTCTGGCTTTTTTCTTTTTGCTTATGTGGTGCTGAGGAATCGAACCCAGGGCCTCAGGCACGCAAGGCAAGTGCTCTACCACTGAGCCACCTTCCCAGCCCCAAAGGTATCATTTTGATGAAGTACATTTATATTTTCTTGTCTTTCTAATGACCAAGGCTCTTCTCTTAGACTATAATTTGAAAAGATTCTGTCAGAAGAATTTAATAAACTCGTGTTTTATTCACTTTGAGAGTTATAACCCATAAGGCTAGAGAATAATAAGTTGAAGTCTGTGTAAACCATTTTCCACTTTTATTGGCTGAGCCTCCCCTTTCCTGGCATCCCCTTCCCATCTCTGATATCTGTTCAGACCCTAGTTTTTGTTTTATTTTAGGGGAAACTTTGACTAAACTCAAACTTCAGTGTGTCCTGGTGCTTGAGACCATCTTGGTAGAACAGCTCTGCCAAAGCTGTTTGCCTTGTGAAAGAAACATTTAGTGGCCTGGGTATAAGTTCTCCTGGAAGTGCCTGCCATCTACTCCTTGATAGAAAGACAAAAGTGTAGGTGTTAGAAAGACCAAAGTTTGAATTGAGCCCCGCTATCAAATGAATGCCAACGGAGCAGTAAAGAATTGTCCTTCAGCCTTAGTTATGTCTGTGAAATAAGAGAGCAGTCTAACCTTGTAAGGGGATTTCCTAGAGGTGGATCATGTGTATCAGCATCTAGCAGCAGTTGCATCCTGTGGGTACTAAGAACATATTGGATGATCATCACAAGCCAAGTGAGAGAACTCAGCAAGGAACACTTTATGAACTGGCTGCTTGAAGACAAGCAGGAGAGTTACAAATTTGGAGCCTGATTGTATCTCAAAAAAAGAGAAAAAAAGCTGTTATGCAATTTGTGTGTGTGTGTGTGTGTGTGCGTGCGTGTGCGTGTGCACGCGCACATGTGTGCGCACGTGTGCGCTGGTTCTGGGGCTTGAACTCAAGGCCCAGGTGCTGTCCCTGAACTTTTTTTGTTTAAGGCTATACTCTGCCACTTGAGCCACAGCTCTTCTTCCAGGTTTTTGGTGGTTAATTGGAGATAAGAGTCTGACAGTTTCCTTCCTTGGCTGGATTCCAACTATAATCCTCAGATCCCACTCCTGAGTAGCTAGGATTACAGGTAGGAGCCTCTGACTCCCTGCTGTAAACAATTTTATCACTGTGACTTAACGAATAATTGCTAAAGAACAAAATATCGAGAATAAAGTTATATGATTGTGTCTTCTGCTCATAGAAATGATTGCCTGGAAGATGTGATATGACTTTCACATTTTCTTTTCTCAGATATATCATGACCATTTAATAAGTAGTGAGAAACAGCATCTACTCCAATGGGAGGATTTCATGAAAGAACAACCTTACAGACAGACCCAGGTGGACGAAGAGCACAGAAGAGCCATGGAGAGGCTAAAAGAGCAATATGCCGAGATGGAGAAGGACCTTACAAAGTTCTCCACCTTTTAAGAACTTGAACAACAGCAAGACAAACAAATGAGAAGACACTGACTTTCCCTCAAATACACAACCAGCTGTCTACCCTTTGCTTATGCTTAGCAATACATTCAGGGACACACTGCTGTAGAGCGCCCAATCAGATGTCCTGTTCTAAGTGCCTATCTATGATCATTCAAAGGAGGAGGGAAAATAGGATAGATTCACTCTGTGGTAATCAGAATTGGTCTTTTCCAATGATTAGTTGAGAGAACTGCAACTATAGACTTCTTAGAGAATCCATTCTCACACAGGATTACAGGGTTAATATGAATTTGTGGCTTAAAAAGCTGGTATGAATTATATGCTGGTGGCTCAGGCCTGTCATCCTAGCTGCTCAAGAGGTTGAAATCTGAAACCTTAAGGTTCAGAGCCAGATGGCACAGACAAGTCTTTGGGACTCTTACCTCTAAATAACTAGCAAAAAGCCAGAAGTGGACCATGGCTCAAGTGGTAGATGGCCAGCTGTGAGCGAAAATGTCATGAGAATGCAAGGCACTGAGTTCAGGCCCAAGCACCAACACATACACAAAAGGAGTAATGGGAAGGGCAAAAAAATGAGGTATGGTAGCTACTGCCTCCGTTGCTATGAGAGATAAGAATGCTTAAAAGTATTAGCTCATGAGTAATGTGAACAAAACAAGGGCAAAAACAAGTTGGCCTTGGAGCAAGAACACATATAAAAGAGTCCAAATATTGTCCCTCCCATGGCAAAGGTGTGACGGTCTTTGAACTACCTATTGGGGAAGCTTGCAGATTTTCCAGTGCAGCACAGTGCTGGTGTTTCATTGAACAAGACATTTGTGTTCTGTGGCCTTCTCACCCTTAATATTTTCATCTTACAAAACACAGGAGGAAATGCTTACCAAAAATATTTTTTACTTGTAGCCTTTCCAAGAACCATAGTCTTGCCCATAGTATTTACCTCATTTTTGTGTCTGTTTTGCTGTGGGTAAGCTTCATAAGGCAAATAATGTCTCTACGTATTTCAGCTGTTTAATGAGTAATCAGCAAAATCTGCCAAGTCGTCTCTTGGGAACCATTTAAAGATTCTGGCTGTGAATGAACCAGAAGTGTTTGCCCACATGGCAAATGATCCGTGTTAAATGTAAATCCTTTTTAGTGTTAATGTCTGTTCTCATAAGCAGGTGTATTATGATGAAACAGTACCAATTCTGTTAGCACTGTGATCTTTACAAATCCACATTTGAACACAAAAGCACAGCAATGGTGCCCAGGCCCTGAATTCAAACTCCAGGACTGGCACGTGCGCACACACACACACACACACACATGCACGCGCACACACGCACACACGCACAAAATAATACACATTGAACACCTAGTTGAAGACCTAAGCTGCTTTACATGCAGTAATTTCAATAGAGTTATTGTAAATTAATTTGAGGTCTGGATAAAACTTCATAATATTTTTATTGCTCTTCAGTTAAAAAAGAAAAGGTACAAGGAAGGAAACTGTCCAGCTCCTCTGTGTTATCTCAGTGTTGCAACTGGAGAAAAGTGACAATGCTTGCCTGTGTAAATTTATGGCCCACTGTCAAAGCTTCATTCTTGGATGCATGTTGAAAATGTGATTAAAGTTAATAGAGGAGATGAAATAAGTATTGAGATTTCTTTCAATAACACTGAACTTCTGCCAACTTTCTCTGTCTGCTACTGTAGGCTTGACAGGTTCATCAATCATCCTCTGGTACCTGGACCAAAAAGAGTACTTGCTGACACTGAGGCATGTTGGAATTTTCTTAATTCTCTTTCCATGGATGGAAAAAGAAATACTTCCAAAAATATCCCACACATGAAAAGGGAGGGGAACTGTAAATGAAAATTCCCTTTGTATGATGGGCACTCTTGGAATGCCATTAATTTCCACCATACCATCAAACAGATGCTGTAACTAGGACCTGGGGATAGTATATATAAGCAGGAATGAGTCTGTGCTTACTCAATTTTGTGTCCTGAAGATTTCTGATCCTTTTTGTTCCTTCATATTCCTCACTTGAATAATAAATGTTTTTCCCTATAAGTTTGTATAGTTATATAAAGAATTTAAGAGCCCTAAACCCAAATTAATTGATAAGGTTTTTGATCTTTAAGCATTGAGATAATTCTTTGTACTGTGTCAGATATTCTAAGAATCAGTTTCCCTTACTTTTGGCTTTTGTAGTAGTGGACATTGTCACTTGTTTACCAGTTTCCAAATCACTGTTACTTTTATTTCATTTAAATTTATTTTAATTAGTCAGATGCTAGAGCCTCATACCTGTTATTCTAGCTACTCCAGAGGCTGAGATCTGAGGATCACAGTTTGAAGCCAGCCTGGACAGGAAGTCCATGACTCTTTAATTAACCACCAAAAAAAGCCAGAAGTGGAGGGGTGGCTCACGTAGTAGAATGCTAGCCTTGACTGAAAAAGCTAAGGGACAGCAGTGCCTAGGCTCTGAGTTCAAGCCTAAATTATAACATACTGCTGTGTTGAACAGACATGCTATGGATCTTATGCATGTCTGCACTGATTATAATGATCAAATGAAAGAAGATTTTTAAATATGTTTTTTTATTGTGAAAATACTGTACAGAGAGGTTACAATTACATGAGCAAGGTAATAAGTACATTTCTTATCAAGCATTGTTGCTTCCTCCTTTGTTTTTCCCCTACCTGCCCTCCCATCTCCACGATTACACTCCCCCCTCAAAGTTGTTAAGTTCGTTTTTCAACATAGCATTTTGTACATCTCATTGTTGCAATGGGTCCACCTGTATCCCTATATAAACAATTTGTTTTTTCCCTTCCCCTCCCCAAATAATACCAACATCAAATACAGTGAAAGCAGGGGTTAGAGCACATAATTAAAATGTATTGTTGACTATTTACTTACCAGAAATAGTTCTAGTTATTAAAGGATTAATTAAAACTATAAACATTAGTAAGTTAATGTAAAATTCTGCTTTTCTAAATATCCTGATTACCAAAGATATTACCAGACAGATGCTGGAGGCTCATACCTATAATCCTAGCTACTCAGGCTGAGATCTGAAGATTGCAGTTCAAAGCTAGCCTTGACAGGAAAGTCTATGACACTCATCTCCAATTAGCTACCAGAAACCACAGTTGGAGCTGTGGCTCAAAGTAGTGGAGTACTAACCTTGAGCAAAAGAGCTCAGGGACAGTGCCCAGGCTCTTTCAAACCCCACAACTGACAAAATAAAATTACTGTTTTAATCATTTATGGGTTAGGCTGATCACAACAAGACTGCAACATAAGGTGATGATGGATATGCTAATTATCCTGATTTGGTCATTCCATAATGTACATACATATACTGAAATGATATTGAATCCATAAGTATCATTAGGTCTGGCAATTAAGAAACAAACATAATGAACATTGACAAAGTTAAAAGGCAAATAAGTGCCACAGTGCCATAATGTCTAGTGAGTATCACTACTGCATTTATTTGCTCACCCTTTGTTACTCCATTTCTGTGTTCCCCCCCTCCCAAAGACAGATGAGCAAGACAAAAAAGAAAAAAAAAACCACCCAGCCACAAAGGGAACCAAAACCATCTTTCCATATCTTGGAGTTCATTTCTATAAATATTTTATATGATCTTATGCACATAGCTATTGAGCCTTTGTAATGCCATTTCTGAGTGTGAACTCTTTGTAGAAGAAATGGGTATGTGAGGTTAGCTAGATAGTGCTTCACTTTGCTCTTTGTGGACTTTGCTCTTTCTTGACTTACAAAACTGCCTGTATTGCTATATTACATTTCCAAAAAAAGTAACTCTTTTCCTTAAAATAGAATTTATAGAAAATTTGGGGAGGGGGGAAATCACAAGCTAATTCACTTTCCTAAAACTTCATGTCAAAATGCTTAAGCATTTTTTTTTTTTTTGGAAAAAGAGGTTTCTTAAGAGAATAGTTCATTAAATTACACTAAGAGGACTAACAAAAAATTAGTATTCTGGGTAAAAGTTGTTTTTGAATCAATTATATGCCATATACTCCGTTAAACTAGAAAAATAATATTTTACTAAAAGTTCTATCCTTCACTTAAAAATTTAAGCCAGGTGCTGGTGGCTCATGCCTGTAATCCTAGCTACTCAGGAGGCTTAGATCTGAGGATTGCAATTCAGAGCCAGCCTGGGCAGAAAAGTCTATGAGACTCTTATCTCCAATAAACCACAGGAAAACCAGAAGTGGTGCTGTGGCTCATATGGTAGATCGCTAGCCTTAAGCTGAAGAGCTGAGGGACAACCCCCAGGCTCTGAGTTCGCTCTGAGTTCAAGCCCTAAGGACCCCCCTCCCCCGCCCCCCACACACTATAATTTAGAGCTAAAGACACACACACACACACACACACACACACACACACACACACACACACACACACACACACACACACACACACACACAATTTATAGCTAAATACCAGTAGGTGTCGCTGTAGTCGTAGTTTGTGTAGATGCACATATGTTCTGCACACAGGCATACATCTATGGACAAGGATGCGTAGTAGATAAGTTATACAGCATCTCTTTGTAGTTAGGAGTGCTTTGAAAACTGTGAGGTTTTTTTTTCCTTCTCTTCATGTCTAATCTTCAAATTCTTTTAAAAATGTAACTGATGTAGAGGTTTTATTAGAAATAAAAATACAGTTCTTAAATACCATTGCTCCTTTCCTCCAAGTTAAGAACGTACCATAATATCTAGTTAGCATTTAGAAACAAAAAAAAATGTGAAAATAATAGAAATTAGGAAGTTAGGTAGGTGTTTTTCCTATCTAATACGAAAGCCATGGTAGAATAAACGTTTGTTCATTGGAGAAAATCCTGTGTCAAGATTTTGCTCCATGGGGGGTAGGGGGAGGAGGGGAAGGGATGGGAAGGGGAAACAAAGGAGGAGGCTACAATGCTTGATAAGAAATGTACTCGCGGGCTGGGAAGGTGGCTCAGTGGTAGAGCTCTTGCCTTGCATGCCTGAGGCCCTGGGTTTGATTCCTTAGCACCATATAAGCAAAAAGAAAAAAGCTGGAAGTGGTGCTGTGGCTCAAGTGGTAGAGCGCTAGCCTTGAGCTGAAGAGCTGAGGGACAGCACCCAGGCCCAGAGTTCAGGCCCCACGACCGGACCCAAAAAAAAAAAAAAAAAAAGAAATGTACTCGCTATCCTGCCCATGTAATTGTAACCCCACTGTACAGTATTTTCACACACACAGAAAAGATTTTGCTCCAGAAGAAATATAGGCAATAATAGTGCTCTTATCATAAAGGAACCTGCAATCGAGGTTGTATCCATATAATAAAAAATAAAAAACTGGCCAGGCACCGGTGGCTCATGCCTGTAATCTTAGCTACTCAGTAGGCTGAGATCTGAGGATCATGGTTCAAAGCCAGCCTGGGCAGGAAACTGTGAGACTCTTATCTCCAATAAACCACTAGAAAACCGGAAGTGGTGCTGTGGCTCAAGTGGTAGAGTGCTAGCCTTGATCTGAAGAGCCCAAGTACAGTGCCCAAGCCCAGAGTTCAAGCCCCACAACTGATAAAAAATAAACATAAATAAAAAACTTAAAGCCTCCAAAATGGCAATATATGAAAGACCACAATGTGACAAGTAAGCAGTACATGATTGGAATTAGTAAATCCTAAGCCACTATCTTTATGAACTGTGATTGGGGAATGATTTTTATTTATATTTTTGTTAGTCATGGGGCTTGAACTCTGGGCCTGGGGTTTGTCCTTCAGCTCTTCAGCTCAAGGCTAGCACTCTACCACTTGAGCCACAGTACCATTTCTGGTTTTCTGGTGGTTTATTGGAGATAAGAGTCTTACAAATTTTCCTGTCTTTCACATTTAGATAATCAATATGATGGCAGATATCTCCATGGTTTTTGTCCTCCTAGATAGATAATGAACCTAAAGGATTACTAAAGCTTGGTTTCTGCCCTGAGTTATCAAAAACACAATTAGAAATACTCTTCAGAAATCCAGACAATAGTTCCTGGACTTCTCTAATGTTGAAACCATGGAAGACAAGATGTGAAATGGTTTCAGAGTTAGAGCCCTGCATTTTTAACCATGCTTCTTCCTCTAAACTTATGCAGGGACTTTAAACACATCACTTCGATCGCTTGACATCATTTCCAATTTCAATAACTTGTGGAAAGTAAATGGCACAGTGAAAGTGGTACAGGAAGGTTATTCTGGATGCAAATGTGTAACTGATGGAAGGAGGAAATTGCTAGCCTGCACGTGGATTTTTAAGAATGTAGCCAAAAATAGCAATTCCTAGTCTAGACAGATTAGGAATAGATTGAGATCTTACGTTGGAATGTAAAATAATGGGAATTTTAGTATCCATATTTAGATATGATGATATATTGTTTATACTCCTTCCAACAATAACTGGCCCTGCCTTGGATTTAGATAATGGACCCTATTTTCCTTTCATGTACATTTGTAATCATTAACCCCTGTGACTGAAATTTTGCTTTAAAA